GTAGGAGAGGGGTATTCACACCTACCAATGCACACTGAGCAAGGGCACACTTAACGAGTAGGAGAGAGGTATTCACACCTACCAATGCACACTGAGCAAGGGCACACTAACTGTGACTTAAACTGTACAAAAGCAAGAGCAATTCATGTAACCAAAACATTTGGACCCCTGTAATATTCTGAAAAAAATTTAAGTTAAGGGTGGCGCCTGTGGCTCAAGGAGTAGGGCACCGGCCCCTTATACCAGGGGTGGCAGGTTCAAGCCCCCGCCAAAAATGAAAAAAAAATTAAGTTAAAAGGAACAATCTAAGTGAACTGTGAGTTAAAAGAGAACTCAGGCTCCGCGCCCGTAGCTCAGTGGTTAGGGCACCAGCCACATAAACCAAGGCAGGACGGTTCCAACCTGGCTCAGGCCTGCTAAACATCGACAACTGCAAAAAAAGAGTAGCCAGGAGTTGGGGTGGGTGCCTGTGGTCCCAGCGACTTGGGAGGCTGAGGCAAGAGAATTACTTAAGCCCAAGAGTGCTATGAGTTGCGACACCACTGCACTCTAGCCAGGGCGACAAAGTGAGACTCTGTCTCAAAAAGGAGGGGGGGGCGGCTCAACCTGATAAAAACTTTCTGTGTTATTTATATATCGCCGTATAACAATATAAAACATTTGTTATGACTAGCTAAATGCCTCTGGCGGAAGGTCTTTCTCAGGTTGTCAACTGGGGCTGCAGTCTCAGCTGAAAACTGCCCGGGAATGGGTGTTGGGGGACCCATCCCTCTGGAAAAGCTACCTGTTGTATGATTCCATTTATATGACATTCCGGAAAAGGCAAAACTGTAGAGTCAGAAAACAGGTCCTGGTTGCCATTGGCGCGCGATCTCCAGCAGCCGGCAGACCACCTCCAGGCCGCCCCTCACCTGTGTGCTCAGGGCGGCCACCTCACGCTCTCCCCAGTTCCAGCTGCCCCCTGAGCCTTACCCAGGTCTCCACACAGTCCATGCTGCTTGTCACCAGGCTGGTCCCGTGTCATAGACAGTGTGTTAATTTTCCAGGGCAAGCACCCACATGGTACCGGGCATATGGGATGGGACTGGTGACAAAGAGCAGCCAATTTACCGGACCCACGAGTTCCCCCGTCTTTGTGCTCAGACCTGGCAGCAGGGAACAGCTGGGAGCAAGATGAGGGAAAGGAGCCTAAAGTAATTAAGGCCGGCTGGGCACACCCCACCGCCCACATCAGACGGACGGACCCTCGCTGCTGAGCGCCGGCAACCGGCCCGTAACCAGCTCGGCCACCGCCACCGCGCCTGCTCTTCCTTCCTGCCCTTCTCCCTCGGGTTCGTTCCCTAACGGCGCAGCCCTGCTCGGGACAGACGGGGACGCTGCCCACGCGGCAGCTGGCGGGGCACACGAAGGAACAGCCGCAGTTGTCACAGGAGGCGGGTGGCCGTCCCCAAGCGGTGCAGGGGGCAGAGCAGAGGCTCCTGGCACAGGCGTCTTGGTGCCCGGGACCGGCGGAGTCTGCGAATCCTGTGGATGGCTCTCCCGGCACAGGGACTTGCGGGGACCCGCACTCGCCGTCGGGACAGCTCCTCCCGGGACCCCAGGGCGCTCCGCCCGGGCCCTTCCCCGTAGCCGGGCAGGAACAGGGAGCGGTGGCCCCGCCCAGACCAGCCCCGGGTGGGGGACAGTCCCCCGGTAAGGACAGCTCGGCGAGCCTGGCCGGGCAACACACAGCCAGGAGGGAGCGTGAGTCCCGGGAGCGAAAGGCGAGGGCCCGGCCGCGCCCCGAAATCGCCGCAGGGAGCACGCAGGGTCCAGCACCGCGCGCTCCGGCCCGGGGTCCACTGCGCTCGGCCTCGCCGCCGCCCCCGCGGGGAGCGCCAGGTGTCTTCTTGCCGCGGGGAAACGACACCCGAAATTAGAACCGGGGAAGCCTGCAGCCTTCTGCGTTCTCCAGCCAGCTCGAGTGTCTTAGATCCGGTGAACTGTAACATTAAAAGAGAGATTATCTTACAGCGTAGCTCGCTTCAGGATGGCGAGTTGCACCTTAACAGGCGACAGAAGTTGGGTCACCCGAGGCAGCAGCGACGTCTAGACTGTCGGCCCAATCGCGCTGCGGCTGCCGAGGGGCTGAGTCTGCACAGACCGGCCCATCCTGATCCTTTAGGAGAGCTGCTCTCTTCCAGGTCCTCGTCGGGGGGTAGGCCTCAAGTCCAGTCCCTTCGTGCCACTATTTCATAAATGACATTTTTGAACTACTTGAAGGTCCACTTTAAGATTTATTCCTCTGCGATGGAGAAGTATGAGAAAATTAGGAAAATTGGAGAAGGATCCTACGGAGATGTTTTCAAATGTAGGAACAGGGACACGGGTCAAATTGTGGCCATAAAGAGGTTTCTGGAATCCGAAGACGACCCAGTCATCAAGAAGATCGCCCACCGGGAAATCCGCATGCTCAAGGTAATCTTTTCGATTTTTCTTAAAGTGAATTTTCAGGGATTAAGAAAGGAAAGTGAGTGGCGTTAAGTTAAGCGAACACCTTGGGACACAGTTACATCTCCTCCCGTCAGAGTGACAGAAACGGCCGTCTGTGGCAAGTCGCTCTCTACTGACCTGGGAAGCAGAGTCGTAAGAGCCGGCAAGGTGGCTTCACCTTCAGAGATGCTGTGGGTGTTTCACTCCTCTTCCCAATAGCTTCTCTCTCCTGTCACCCGGAGAGCTGGATCTTCAAGAGTCTCCACCCCAATTGTCCTAGCATTGATGATTTTTAAACTTCTAAGCTACTATTTTTTGGAGGGAGGTGGTGGTATTCTCTGCACATTAGGAGAATTAATCATTCACTTGTTTTCAAACTGCTAGAAATCTGACAGGTTTCATCACACCTCACATGTATCTACGGAGCACCATAATGCCCTATCACTAAATGAAGTTTTCATCTTAAGGAAGTGAAATGAGGCTTGGTGCCCGCAGCTCAATGGTTACAGTGCCGGCCACATACACTGAGGCAGGGAGGTTCAAACCTGGCCCCAGCCAGCTAAACAACAATGACAGCTGCAACAACAACAAAAAAGTAGCAAGGCATTGTGGTGGACACCTGTAGTCCCAGCTACTTGGGAGGCCGAGGCAAGAGAATTGCTTGAGCCCAAGAGTTGGAGGTTGCTTTGAGCTGCGACAGCATGGCACGCTACCCAGGCTGATAGAGTGAGACTCTGTCTCTAAAAAAAAAAAAGAAGTGAAATGATCACTTGTTAAATGTATCACCCTAGGATACCATGATGTGTGTGTGGTGGGGGGGATGTTTATCACAAGCGGAAAGTGGTTTTTCTTTTCCTCCAGTGGAAAGGCTTCTTTTCTGAACTTTCATGAAGGTGAAATCCCAATTACCATGTAGGATGTAGTGAATACTACGGAGGTTAACTTCGTTTCCATCTTAACTTCCGTGTTCTGACTCCTGTAACTTACCGTGTGAAAGGGGAGAGCCAGGTACAGAGTGAGAGATGAATGGCACTTCTGGGCGTCTCTAGAAATCTTTTCCCCTTGGAGTAAGCGTAGGGGGTCACTTATAGCAAGCTTTGGATGCATTAAAATGGTGAATGTTAGGAAAATATCTGTATTTGGGTTTGGGATGTCATCTTGTGGGAGAAGACACTTCCACAGCCCTACAGTGAGGTGCTAGGGAGGGGTGAGGCTGGCAGTGTTTGAGCTCCTATGGCCCTAGCCCCCTGCTATACACAGGGAGAGGTTATCACCATTTCCCTTGGGCTGATGGTGCTTACACTTGCTCAGGCTTTCCTTAGGGGAGAAGGTGATAATTACATTTCAAAGCATTCACTTAACTCCAAAGAAGAGAAAATCTATCTCTAGCAGGGATACTCTCTGATTATGAAGGTCAAGTGTGAACCCTCCTACCTCACTCTTTCATGTTTTAAGTTTGAATCATAAATTTCCAGTTTATATAACTTAGCTTTTAAAAATAAAAATAAACAATTACTACAGTTAAAATTAGTCAACTCATACTCTACTTTAAGGATAAATTAAAGACTATTCTAATGACAGTTATAAAATTTTACAGTAAAATCTGAGCTCAGACTACCTGTCCTACCCTTTTTCAAACTCACTTTCCACTGTGAAAAAAAAAGAATTTAGTGTTTCCAGTCAATAGTTTTGAATGAGCCCTGTGCAGAAGCTAGCTGCCGTGTGCTCACCGGCAGGTGCTTACAGAGCTGTAGGTACCAGGCACTGTGATTCATGAACTTGCATCTCCGTAAAGAAAGACCAACTGTAAAAAAATAATTATATGTTAAGTAGTAAAAAATGAAACAGGATGAGGGTATAAGGGGTAATTAGGGGGCTTGCTTTTTTATATAAGGTGGTTCTAATAAGAGGCATTTAAAAGAGGCCAGGAGAGATCGTGGGAGGACGGATGCAGTCATCTAAGGGAAGAGCATTCCAGACGGAGGGCACGCTGAGAGTACAAGGGCCCACGCAGGACCAAGGGATCTGATCTTGGCTCAGTCTGCTGTGCTCTGGAAGGAGCAAAGAGGCTAGTGTGTCTGGAGCAGGGTAAGCAAGGGTGAGGTCACAGAAGAGGAAGTTAGAGAGCCAGGCAGAGCTACGGCAGGCCCTGTGGGTTTTATTCAGATGATGATAAGGGCCATCAGAGGATTTTAAGCAGATGAGAATCTTGGCATGACTTATGTTGTAGAAGGATTCCTGTAGTTGCAGGTTGCTCTAGCTTCGCAGGAAGGAGGATCAGTTCGCAGAAGGTCTGTCGAAATAATCCAGGTGTGAGGTGATGGGATTTGGCTCAAAGTGGTAGCAGTGAACCTGGTGAGGGGTAGTCAGATTCTCAGTTTATCAGTTCTGAGAACACACAGGTGCCAAGAATGACTTCAAGGTGTTTGACCTGAGTAACTAGAAGAATGAAGAGATTATTTGCCTTGATAGACAGTCTAGGTGCAGATTTAAGGGAAAAGAAAATCAAGAGTTCTGTTTTGGATAGATTAAGGTTGAGATGTGAATCCAAGGAGACTTGTAACCCTAGGAGACACAAATACAGCATTCAAGGGAAGCCCAGGGTGAAGTCCAGGGTGGAGATATAAAGATGTATCAGTGTATTTGAGGCCATGAAACTGGGTGACTTCATGGCTGATGGAGGGACAGATACTGAGGACAGAGCCTTGTGTCAGCTGGCATTTGGGTGTCAGGAAGTTGAGGAGGAACTAGCAAGGGAGGCAAGAAGGAGCAATTGCAAAGTAGGAAAATCCTGAGAACAATGTTCTTAAAAGCTTAATGAAGAAATGGGTTAAGAATGAGGGGATCAGGGCTCCTGTAGCTCAATGGTGAGGACGACAGCCATGTGCACTGGGGCTAGTGGGTTCAAATCTGGCTTGGGCCTGCTAAGCAAAAAAAAAAAGAAAGAAAGAAAACAGCCAGGTGTTGTGGTGGCTGCCTGTATTCCCAGCTACTAGGGAGGCTGGGGCAAGAGAATGACTTGAGCCCAAGAGTTTGAGGTTGCTGTGAGCTATGATATCAAAGCACTCTACAGAGGGCAACAAAGTAAGATTCTGTTTCAATTAAAAAAAAATGAAGGATGGTCAGTGGTGTCAAAGGTCTCCATTAGTGCAGATTTGGAAGCAGCGGATAGCTTTGAAAATGTGAAGGTCATTTGTGGTCTTGACAAGAGCTGCTTGGGTGGAGTGGTAGGAATGAAAGTTTTCATCAGCAAGGGTTCAAGAGGAGAGGAGCAAAGTGGAGAGAATGAGACAGACAACTGTTCTGAGGAGTTTCATCATAAAAGTAAGCCAAGGGCTGGGCATGGTGGCACACTGTTGGTATCCCAGCACTTTGGGAGGCCAAGGTGGGCAGATCACTTGAGGCCAGGAATTCGAGACCTGGGCAACAGTGAAATCCTGTCTCTACAAAAAATAAATAAATACTAGAAATACTAGAATAAATAATACTAGAAAACTTATCCAGGCATACATCTGTAGTCCCAAATACTCAGTAGTCTGAGGCAGTAGGATCACCTGAACCCAGGAGTTTGAGGTTGCTGTGAGCCATGATGACACCACTGCACTCTAGTCTGGGTAACAGAGTGAGACCTTGTCTCAAAAAAAAAGAAAGAAAGAAAGAAAGTAATTCAAAATGGGGCAGTAGGTGCTCAGAAAGATGTGGTGTGAAGAAAGGGAGTTTTGTTTTTGTGGTTGTTGTTAATACAGAGGAAATAAGTATATTTATATGCTGATGGTGATGATCCAGTGGAGAGAAAACTTGACATTGTAGGAGGGAGAGAATTGCTGTAGCCATGACCTTGAGTTACTGACCTGAATGTGACCAAACATATATATATAACAGCATAATAAAAAAGCAATTCATGGACCATTTAGGACATTAGGTGACCTCTTATTTTATCTGGAATGTTGCTATATTCTTTAAATTCACCATCCTTAATCTTTACGTAACAGTACCCAAGTTATAGGCTCCCACCTATAGGTGCAGAACTTCTTCTACCAGAGTGTATGACATTTTCTGATTTGGGGATGACCCACGAATGCTATAGGTTCAACCCCTTTCCATAACTCAGGCTTAAACATATTGAAGATACACTGAGTGAGAGATAAGATGGTCATAACAGAAGCCAGGTAACAGAGAGAGCCAAGGTCTCTGTAAGAAAATCCCCTTAAATCAAGAAGTCTGACATGCTGGGCTGGAGTATGACAGGGTTCTGCACAAAGCAGGTGGATGAAGTTGAACCCAACCCAGCCCCTGGAGAATGTCTCTGTATCCAGTAAGGAAAGAGTCATGTGGTTCAAATCAAATACAAGCCAACTAACCCAGAGTAATTTTGTCACTGAGCTCCCCAGCATCCGCACTGCTGGCCTTCTCCCTGTGGTAATGCTTCAGGAAGGGGATGGAAGGAATTTCAGCCCCCAGTGACAGAAGAGTGGATGCTCCTAGAGGAACTGGATGTCAACACATGTCAGTGCCACTCGGGGGTGCCCAGGCAGATCTTCCACCTGTAGGAGATGGTACGGGGACATTCCGATAGGGCAGACCAGCTCCAGTCAAGGGCTGAAAGCAGCAGCCGGGACGTGTGACAACCCCTCCTCCAGAAGACAAGGGAAACAAGAGACCAGGGAAGGGATCACACACTGCCATTTGCATCGTGGGTCTGTTGACTAGGAGACTGGGCAGACTGTCAGGCAGCGCTACCTGGCACTCCGAGGTACACTAGTAACAACTGGGGAGGTGGGTGTTGTCATCTCATTTAACAAATGGATTCACTGTGGTTAATGATTTGCCCAGGCCTCCCAGTCAGCCAACTGGAATGCAGACACAGTTCTCTCTGTCCCCAGAGCCAGACCTGCCTGCTTGTCCACATCACAACCATCACGGTACATCAGACACCATGCTCGAAAGTCTCCCAGTGACGGGTCCCCAGAATTTATTCAGGCCCT